GGGAAAGATAAAGAGGGAAAGGAAAAACTATGAGAAAAGAAAAAATAAATGGAAATGATGTCTATGTAAATAGGGAAGGGTGGAGGGGGTGAAGGGCACACAGGTAATGGGGGAAAAAAATAAGAACCAAGATCCATTATGTACAGGTACAAACACCCAATGATAAATGTAAACGAATTGCATACCTAAAATGTACCAATAAAAGAACTAAAACCAAAACAAAACAAAACAAAAAGTAAAAACCTAAACAACCAAAAACAAAACAGAAAAAGGAAAACAAAACAAACAAACCAACAAATAAAATTCCTCTGGTGTCCACAGTTCTATGGTAGTATCCAAGTCAGAGCCCAAATGTGTGCTAAGTAACCCTGCCAAGTCTGCAGTATGATTATTGCTGGGTGCAGGCCTGATCTTGGCCTCTGGATGTAGGGGCTGAGGCCAGAGTCTTCAGCCAGCAACTTTCTGAATGTCCCTCAGCGGCCCACCCACATCTCCTTATCCTCTGTCCCTCTCCCAGTTGCTGTGGAACCCTCAGAGACAGCCCAAGGCTGCTCCCAGTCCCGTGTACAATTGGTCCCTCCTGGCCCTTGCACAACCTCCTCTGTTCCACTCCACTAGCATGTCTCTCTCCTCTCTGACACCCCTGGAAGCAGTATAGGGGAGTGCTGTTGGCTGACTCAATCACCCTGTTGCCACTGTGAGACAGCCAAAGGCTGCTCTAGTCCCACTTCTCTCTCTTTTCTCCTGCCATTGGGAGCAGGGTGGGTGGAGTGCTGACTTCCCACTCATTACCCCACTGTGGGGCAAGGCTTCTGGGGTCCTTTGTCTCTCCTCTCTCATGACACTGGGAGCAGGGCAGGAGGAGTGGTGCTGTTCCACGCAATACCTTCATCTCCACTGCTGCAGTTCCTAACCTTGTTGTCCTGTTCTATTATTGACCCTTCAATGCCTACTGTTCCATTCTTGAAACACCCATAACAATGGAGTATAATAAAATTTTTTCTCTTCAAACTCTTATTCCCTGAATTTTTGTAGGCAACATATATGAATTTCATGCAAAAATTCAAAAATATTGCATTCTTGGCAGAAATTGGTTAATTATAAAATTACAAACATCAAAAAATGCCCCATAATAGCTGAATGGCTATGATCTTCTACAAGTAGTAAGAAGAGTTAGCAAAACTGCAGAAGATATCCATGAAGTTCTGTGCAGGAAAAAGCAATCACAGAATAAGTTCAATATGTTCCATACCTGAAAGCAGTTACATGTCTGCACACAGATACACAGTTCGTGTTTACAGATAAAACCCTGAAATAGTACACACCAAATTGTTGAAGGCAGGCAGTAGAAATTGGCTGAAGGGAGATTTGCTCTCACTACATGTGTTACTTTTCAAAACTAAAAATAAAGAGAAATATCTTCACACCCATACTGTTCTGTTGCCTTTCCAACGTGATGCTTATACAATACCACATTCACATCTCACCTCTGCCAAGAACTACAGAAGGGAGGAACTCTCCGTGGGGTAACTCACCCAGAAATCCTCCTCTGGGAAGGACCTTCGACAGACAGTGCAGGTGGCTGAGGCAAAGGTTCCGTGAGCTTCAACCAGCTTTGAAACTGGGATGCCAGACACTGAAATTCAAACCAAAACTTGGTGTTGCAACCTCCGTAGGCCATGCAAGTCCAAACATACAACTTCTGAGTGTGGCAGGCCTTTTGGAAGGGACCTCAGCCCCTCAGCGGTGCCTGCTATCACTGCCTGTGTCACCAATACACAACTCTACACCCATCAGGATGATGCACGGGGCAGAGGCTCCCAGTGGAGATTAACCACTCTAAAACAAAGTCTTGTCAACCTTGTCCATGCCACTGTACATTAGGCAAGGCCCCAGCAAGCTCTTCACTAGATGCCCAGCCTGGCCAGCACCATCATGAATGCCACATATGGTTCCCATGTGACACAGATATAGCCAAGAGGCCATCTCAGCCTGACCCCTACAACACTGAGGAACAATGACTTTTTAGTGTGGTAAGAGTAGCAGAGCTGTTTAAGACTTTTTCTTTGAGATACCCACTGATGGATCTGCTTTAAAACAATCTGGGGAGGGCCGGGGATTTAGCTCAGTGGTTCCGTCGCCTGCCTCGAAAGCACAAGTACCTGAGTTCGATCCCCGGTACGAAAAAAACAAAAAAAAAAGCAAACAAACAAACAGAAAAACAATCTGGGATAAGGGAGAAGGTTGGGAGAACACAGATGAACAAGCACTGGCTATGTATCAGTAATGAACAGAGCAAAAGGACTTGAGGGTTCTTTGAACTATTTTTATTTGCTCAATATTTCTCTCTCTCGTTCTCTCTTTTGTTGTTGTTTTGTTTTTGGAGACAGGGTCTCACTATGTAGTTTTTTTTTTTTTTTTTTTGGTACCGGGGATTGAACTCGGGTCCTTGAGCTTGCGCAGCAGGCGGCAAAACCACTGAGCTAAATCCCTGGGCCTTCTCACTATGTAGTTCAGACTGGCCTTGAACTCACTATGTAGCACAGGTTAGTTTCCAACACACAGCAATCCTCCTGCCTAAGCCCCCCAAGTGCTGGGATTACAGGCATGAGCCACGATGCCTGGCCACTCAATATACTTCTTTCTTTTTTTTTTTTTTTTTTGGTACCAGGGATCTAACTCAGGTCCTCGTGCTTGCGCAGCAGGTGGCGAAACCACTGAGCTAAATCCCCAGCCCACTCAATATATTTCTTAAAAGAAAAAAAAAAAACAGATCAGCAAAATAATGTCAAATTTAGTTCTGCCCCAAAAGCACTGCCCATTAAGTTTGAAGGAGAAAAGCCCATAGGGAGGTCCAGAAGTAGCCTTGAACACTGAGAAGAGGCAAATGTTGAGTCAAAATGGCCCCAAGCATGAAGTGTGCAGTAGGCCCAACCCTACCAGAAACAGGCAGACAACATACAATGGGAACAAAGGGCTCACCTCTCTCAAGTCCATCAATGTTCTGGGTATAGAGCCGCAGAAGCAGGCCCTTGTCATGGAGCAGCCTGAAGAAGTAATGAATAATATTGGGCCGATAGTTCCCAGGGTACAGCTCTTTGGCCAAAGTGAAAAAGGGTTTGGGGTTATGAGAGAAAAATTCGAGCTCAAAAATGGCCTCTGGGTATGGGATGTTGTACTGCTGGAGGTTGCTGTAGAGGCCACTCCCTGGAGATCTGTAGAGAGAAAAGAGACCTGAGCCCTTCCTGAGAGAGCAGGGAAGTGGCATCAGCTGGGAAACACAGAGCTAGCTACCTGAAGTCCGGAATGCCACTGGGTGTGCTGATTCCAGCACCCACCATGACCACCACTCTCTGGCAGGCTCTGGTCCGAATCAGCTCAGCTACATCCTGCAGGGAAAACTTCTTCTCACTGTTGCCTCTGCTTCCAAAAATCCCTGAAGCACCTACAGAAAGAGATATGGACCTTCTTCTACCTGTAATACTGACAGCAAGAGCAGAAGAGAAAGGCAACAGACAACAGTCAGTCTCCTGCTGGCAAGAACAAGCCCACTTTCACCCTTCCCACCAGTTATGCACTTCAGTGTCCCACAATAACCACTTTTCTTATCGTGATAACTACTGGATAAAACAGAAGGTAGCCTTGAATCGGAAATCAAGACTTACATGGAGGCAAAAAATTCTGATTTATGGGCACTATGTAAGTCAGGAAAGCTGGACTTCACAGTTCTGTCATCAAAGGCCAATACTGTGGAGAACAGGGTCCCAGACCAAAGGCTTAAGTCAGGGTCTAGAGCATCTGAGGGGAATCTTGGCACATTCCCAGCAGAGCTGCACACCCTAATGTGTACAATATTCAGTGACATTTGAAGAAAATTAAAATTCTCAGACTTTACACTAAATATTACTGGGATAAAAGGTGAGCTCTAGAGACCATTTCAGAAACACCCACCCCCTGACAGCTAGGGGCTCAAACTGCTGCAGCAGTTCATCTTCAATGTTGGCAGCTGGGAGCACATATTACTCAACTGCCAACATGACACAATCAGGTAAGGCCAAGGGTACAGTTAGCATTCAGGTCACCTTCAGAAGCTGGCAGCCACAATTAAGAGTATGAAATAGTCATTTACAGGAAAGGAATGCAAAACACACACACACACACAAACCCAAGTCACAGGCTGGGAGAGGAAGAGGAAGAAAACAAAAGCCATACAAAACAACACAATCGGCAGGAGCATTTGAAAATACCCCTCTGATCAGAAGGCTGAGACAAGAGGATCGCCGGGAGATCGAGGCCAGCCTGGGCTTCATAGTGAGTTCAGGGCCAGCCTGAACTACAAAGGGAGACCCTGCCTCAAAAAAACCAAAAAGCCATAGGGGCTGGGGATTTATCTCACTGGTGCCACACCTGCCTCACAAGCACAAGGTCCTGAATTTGATCCCCAGTACCGAAGGAAAAAAAAAATACCCCTCTGAATCCTGCAGCCAGAGAAGCACAAGTACTGCAGCTTCCTGTGGCCCTTGAAGGTCTCCTGGGCCTACAGTCTCACCTTTTAGGACCCTCACAGCATCTAACCAAGCTACACATGTCTCCATCACCCTGATGACTTGCCCTGAGTTCAGGCACTGGTGCCTTTCTAATCCCCATGAATACCCAGAAGATACAACCCCTAAGCCCATTCTTCCATTAGATAGCCCTTGATGACCCTCTTCAACATAGTTTCTGTCTGCCACATGGACCCTTCCACTCTGACAGGAAGTGATTCAATAATCAATCTCACAGCTCCCCAAATAGAGGATTACTCTAAAACTAACATAGACATAATAGAGGCAACTAAGCCAGGCATGGCAGCAAAAAGCTGTATTCCCAGCATTCAGGAGGCTGAGGCAGGAGGATTGCTGTGTGTTTGAGGCCGGAGGATTGCTGTGTGTTTGAGGCCAGCCTGGACTACATGTGATACCTTGTCTCAGGGGGGAGGCTGAAGGGTGAAGGCCAGGCAACTAAGAACATTTCTTTTATTCGTCAGAAATGAAGATACTAAAAGCACATCTATAGCTACATCAGAACAATTCAGAGCCTGTCTTCTAGGAGGATGATCCTAATGCAGTGGTTGCTCTTTTGTCTCTTTCTTTTACTCCTTATAAAACCAACACCGCAAAATCTCTTGAAATATCTACTTTACACCCTGCTGCCTCAGATTCCTCTAAACCTCTCTGTTCCCTACAGCAGTCCAGTGTCAGTCCAGCACATCCTATTCCAGTGATAGTTTTAATCCCATTATTCCCCCTTGTGAACCCCTTGTTTCAGCCAAACAAAAGGTTGCCCTCTTATATATGCTCTAAACTCTAGTGTTCCCAAACAGCCCTTTCCCCACTCAGCATACTCTGCCTGAAAAGACCTTTCCCTGCTTTAGAATGCCCCAATCTCACAGGGTCAAGGCCAGGATCAAATGCCATGTCCTTGCTAAATTCCACTAGAAATAACTGGCAACAGAACTGGCTCGCCGCTCCTTCCTGTCACCCCATTCCCTCACTGCAGCTGCAATGCATAGCTCCCTCATCCATGATGAGTCAGTGATAGTGACACTCAGGGACCTGTTTGCTGCCCACAGACCAGTGTGCAGTCCTTGTGCATCCCTCTGTGTAGTCACTTCTCTCAACATACAAAGAATTCATCTTTGAAAGATGTGTCCCATGATAACAGCAGGTATACCATGCAGGGCTGAGGGCACAAAAAGGGACTTGAGTCTTTGAAACACCTTGATGTGGTTTTGTGGTGCTGGGGATGGAGGCAAATTTCTTCCACTGAACTACATTCCCAGCCCCAACTCTTAAGAGTCTTCTTACAGCAGGGAAGAACACTTCCTCTCCATGAACACGTAGAAATGGCCACAGGCTCTGAGAAGGCTCTGCCACATCAAAGGTACCACAAAAGGCCAAGGACCCTCTTCTGAGGACAAGCTGATGAAACCTCCAAAGGGGCCAATGAAAACTAGTCAGTCAAGAATGAAAAAAGGAAAGCCTCAGCTCTAAAACCACCCTTACACCTATTAAATACCCTACTTCACACAGCATTAAGAATATCTATTTGCATACAACCCTCACCCAAACATTATTTTGAGTTCTAAATGCAAACCATTATGAGAAATACATAAGGAACAAAAGAAAAGTTATTAGCATTGTTGAGTACCAACCAATTGCTAGGTATTACACAGGACACTAGAAGTGTATTTTTCATTTATCTATTTAAGTAAAATGGTTATGAGTCACTGAAAAACATGGACAATGCTTTATAAAAGGAAGAATATACTTAAGGTGTATGACTAAACGTATATACTATATGGTATTAAAGTTCCTAGGAGTAGAAGGCCCTGAGACAGGCATGGGTGCTGCCCAAGAGACACTGTGCAAAGAGACACAAAGGATGAATCCGCACAATAGGCCCAAACTCTACAATCAAGGGGCAGAAGAAATTCCAAACTGCAGAAAGCCAGACTGCCCACTCCTCACAGGCAACCTCCTATCTCATGTCAGGGTGGCAGCAAGGGTTTAATGACAGCCAGCCAGTCCTGCAGACAATGGCTGATATCAGAACTGTCTGCTTGGATAGAAGTGTCTGTCCTGGTCCCTGCTCCATCCCCACCACCCAAACAGATGGCACAAGGCTGACTGAAGGTATCCTGCATGAACATCTTTTTATTACTCTTCAGTATGCATCAGGAAACTGTACCATTACGTAAATGTTCACCCACGTAGGACGTTTTTTTCCTAATAACTGCGGGTCCTACAATGTTTTCCGTATGGACGCTGAGTTCCTAAGTAAGGACCCTAGGCTGAGGGTGTCGCTCAAAAGTAGAGCGTTTGCAAAGCATGGAGGGGGCAGGCCTGGGTTTGAGCTTCAGCACTGGGGTTAGGTGTAACTACTGTGCAGACGGGTGTGACGACCTGCGGGTGGCAGCATTAGCTGCACAACCTTATGAAGGGCAACTAAGACGTTCAACGTTTACCTCAGACCCAGAAACTTATCCAAACAGCGAGATTTATATTTTTTAAAAAACAAGGTTGTGGTGACCCCGTTATCTGTAAAAACTAGAGATCAAAAGCCATTTCAACAAGAGAATGATAAACTATGAAACGTCCCAACAACGGCCTGCCAGAGCCCAGCACAAGGACTGCGCTATAATGGGAGCAGCCACAAGATAGGAAGGAACCAGGGACCACGCCTGGTCACTGCTCGCCCTTTCACACAAGGCCAACAGCTGGGGCCGAGGGGCCTCGTCCTTCCCCGGCTTCCCCTGGCCAGGCCCAGCCTACTCACCTCCCGGGGCCCCACGGCCCGAGAGCTGACAGAGCCCGCCGGCCCCACCGCGCCACGGGGCCCCACTGCGCCATGACACTCAGCCGCGCAAGCGCGTCCAGGAGCACCACGTGGCGCCGCGCCCCGGCCCCTGCGCCCGGCCTGTCAGCGTGGCCCACTGTTCTTAGACCTCCTAGGCCCCATCCCGCCCCCGGCCTGGTGCACCGGAAGCCCGGCCTGAGCCCGAGAGAGAATTTCGCCCCGGTGGCTGAGGAGCGCAGTTCCCATGAAGACTGGCGCGCGCGGAGACTGGCGCGCGCGGAGACTGGCGGCCGCGGCACTCCCGGCATGCCTAGCGCTGTGCAGCGAGGGAAGTGAGTGAGCACTTCCGGCCGCCATCCCTGCCCAGGTGACGTTTCTGTGTTGTTTCTGGCTTGCACTTTCTTGCTATCATGAAGGATGTACCGGGCTTCTTACAGCAGAGCCAGAGCTCCGGGCCCGGGCAGGCCGCCGTGTGGCACCGTCTGGAAGAGCTCTACACAAAGAAGTGAGTACCGAACCGAACCGAGGGGACCCAGACAGGGGGACGCATGGACTGGAATCGGAAAGGGCAGAGACTTGTGGGGAGAGGGGATCGGCTGGGCAGAGAGGGTCTGAGCTACCCTCAGGGTCGAAGCTGCGGAAGAAGGGCGACAGACCGCGAGGTCTAAGAGCACTGTTGTAGCCAGGGTTTGGAGGTCACTGTTCTCTTGCCCAGGGGCTGTGTATGAAAGGATTTTAGCCCGTGATTCAGTCAAGCAAGCACACTTTTGCTCCAGGTTGCCACCTTTTTGGGAAACAGGTCCTAGTGACCTGTACCCAAGTCGCAGTGTGACTCCATCTCCAGTTGTCTTTCACACGGGCTAGGCCCCAGAAACCAGAGGCCAGTGCAGGTTCTCAGTTGATTCTGGAACCCACTGCTCTCGCTTTCTATTGCATTTCATATTGAGCTTTCTGCCCCTGGAGAGATCTCAGAGTTTGGGTTTATTATACACAGGGTGAACTTAAGAACAATTATAGATTGCTAGCATTTAGAACTGTCCCGCGGTACAATAGACCTCCTGCGGTAACTCCCTGTTAACAATGGGGCTTTTAGCGTAGAACCTTTTATACGGGCATTCACAGTTTTTAATGATGTTTAGCAGTCTTCCTTTTTTTTTTTTTTTTTTTTTGGTACCGGGGATCTAACTTGGGTCCTTGCGCTTGCACAGCAGGCGGAGAAACCACTGAGCTAAATCCCCGACCCGCAGTCTTCCTTTCTTTTAGCAGTTTTTGAAAGAAAATTCTTAGTATTTGGCAAATGATTGCTTGTGTTGGGTAGCACTTTGTATTTTTCAAAGCATTTTATCTGCATTATTCAATATTTGGTTTTTTGAGTGGAGAGTTCTAGAAGTTTTATGTATTAGTTTATTTCATCTTTCATCCCATTCGCAGATGAGGAAACTGAAGCTGTTTCCTTGGCTTCCCTGAGATACTCAGCTAAAGAGAGCCTAGATTTCATTAGAGCTATATAATTCCAAAATTCTTTTGGGGGGGGCGGGTACCGGGGATCGAACTTCGGTCCTTGTGCTTGTGAGGCAGGCGGCGGAACCACTGAGCTAAATCCTCGGCCCCCCATTCCAAAATTCTTATTTCCACTGGCGCCTCACAACGTTTGAAGCAGTCTAGAAACTGAAGCATAGAGAAGATAAATGAGCTCAGGTGACATAACCATTGAGTAGCAGACTTGGAAAAGAACTTAGAGGCCAGGGATTTAGCTCAGTGGTTCCACCGCCTGCCTCGCAAGTGTGAAGTCCCGAGTTCGATCCCTGGTACCAATGGGAGGGGGAGAAACTCAGATTTATTATTATCTGCTTTAGCACTCTGCACTTAACAGTAGATATTGGTAGGTATTTGTTTGATGGGACCATCAAGACTGAAGATATCTATATTAGTTTATGGGTCTGAAGTGCCTTTGTTTTTCAGGTTATGGCATCAACTGACACTTCAGGTCCTTGATTTTGTACAGGACCCATGCTTTGCCCAAGGAGATGGTCTCATTAAGGTAAATAATTTATCATGCTAGGTCAGATTATATGAATATGGTCAAGAATTTTTTGAAATAATGGATGGACTTTATGATAATAATAAACCACACCTATTCATCAATCAACTTTGTATGAGAAGCTGTTGTAAGCACTTTACATATTTACTCTTATTCTTCATAGCAGTATTGGGAGGTAAGTACCACATTTACCTTTTTCTTTTATGTTGAAGCAAACATAAGAGGTTAAATAACTTACCATAGGTCACAGCTAATAAGTCACAGAAGACCATTCAAACACAAAAATTCTGATTTCTAAAATTCCAGGCTACTGGTAGAACATGTGCTTAGCTTGTATCAACCCTGGGTTACATTCCCAACATCACCAAAACAAAAAAAGATGCCAGGTAAAGTGATGTTCACCTCTAATTTCAGCTACTCAGAAGGCTGAAGCAGGATGATCATGAGTTTTAGGACAACCTGAACAACATAATGAGATCTTGTCTCCCCGAACTAAAAAATTCTAGCCTTAAAAATAAAAAAAGTGCTTGGATATCTTTTTGTTCATTAACTTGCTTTGTTTTTATTTTCTATTCTTTTGGTAAACTTTTTTGTAAATTGAAAGTTCACAGTCTGTCATGGGGTGAAGCAGGGTATAGAGCAGTGATGGCGAGTCTTTTAGAGCTTTCAATGATACAAATAGCCTTCTGAGGCACACATGCCATCGGTTCACCACCACTGGTACAGAGGATTGCCGTGGGGACCTTTAGGTAGCTCCCCTCAGTTCTCGCTCCCCTCCCTTAGCCATGGTGATTTTGCTTGCCCAGACAGATCTGTCCTGAGTAGTGTAGAAGACAGAGCACCTTTTGTACTTTGCTTGAAGGTGGTGGGATGGAGGGGATTTGGTAATATCATGTGCCTTTATAATAGATCACTTTTAGCATTTTGCTAACAGAAAAATTCACTCTCTCCCAGCCTTACCCAGATTCCCTGACATGTTCCTAGAAAGCCTTCTCTTTGAAGTCTTTCCTTAAATCTTACTCTTTGATGCCTTTCTCAGATTTTGAATGGATCAAAGATTAATATATGCGTTGACTAATAACTAGCTTGTGATTATAGCTTAAGATCTTTCTCTGAATATAGTACAGTGAAGCTCACTACTTTACTACCCAACCTCTTGGGCTTGTAAGATTTTCTTGTGGTTTGTACCCATTGATTTGACATTTTACTATCCAAAAGAACTTGTAATCATCTATAAGCCTAAAGATTTTGCTGAATGTTTTGTTTTCTGGATTATGTGGAAAATGACAAATGAGACAGGTCTTAATACTTATTCCCCAGGGTTCTACATCATAGTAGTATATATTCATAATTGTTTATCTCTGCTTTTTTTTTTTTTAAGTAACTTTTCCATATATGCCAAAGTGTTCAACTTCATGGTAATGGGACACTCAGGTCAACAGATTTAAGTTTACTTTGTAATGGGGGAAAAAAAGCCTTTAAAATAGTTGAAACCCAGCACACATAGATGCAAGTTGGATAGTATTCATGAATTTACAGTCTCCAGAAGTTACAGATTCTGAATTTAGTAGGCTTCTTTCTTTAGATAACCCCATAAATTATGAGGTATCTGAAAAATTGAAACAGTTCCTCTTAATGAGGAAGAAGATATCTTTTATCACGTCAAGTTCTTTTTTTTTTTTTTTTTGGTACTGGGGATCAAACTTGGGTCCTTGCACTTGCGCAGCAGACGGCAAAACCACTGAGCTAAATCCCCGGCCCTAAGAAGATATCTTTTAAATAGTCCCTTGTCATGAAAAGGCCTGTGTGCCAGGTATAAATTGCCACAGGGACATTTCTGTCCCTCTACCTCAAAACCAAGACAAGACTGGTCTCCCTCAGTCTCCTTTGTGGTCCTCTGCCTCAGGGATGTCTGCCCTTGTTCAGCCCTGCTTTTAGGGCAGAGACCAGTTCTCTGTCTCCCACTGTCTGTGTCCTTTAGAAGGACTCCTGAAACTCAGTGCAAGTTGTTTCTGTCTGGAGTGTCCTTCTCTCACCGGCCCCCTCTCCCACGAAGACTTCATTTCTTGAAACACAATTGTCACTGCTTTGGAAATAACTTTTGAAACCCCTCCCTTTGGCTCACCTACTGATATGCCTTCTTTCTCTTGTTCTTAAAGTCACAGTATTATTCATTCATTTGTTCACAGACTTTTCCCTGTCCCAGAACTCCTTGAAGGTTCAGTGTTTGCCTCACACATTCTGTGCCTGTGGTACCTGGCCATGGGGTATGAGGAAGTGCTCAAATGTGTATTGAGTGACTGAAAAATTTGGTGAAAGGATATAATTAGCCTATAGCCTTCTTAAGTTGAAGAAGTGAACATTTCAGGCTGATGGTCTGTTGTACTTGGGTACCTTGGACAAATAATGTAGGATTTCCTTTTCAGAACATTCTTACAGGTCAGTGTTCTAATTCCCCAGAGCTAGAAAGAAGCCCAGCTTTCTTTACTAATCTGTCAGTGATCATTTATATGAACTTAAATAAGCCCTGCTGTGGGCCTCCTCTCATTGAGCCAACATTTATGCAGTGCTTACTATGTGATGGGCAAACTCATAGCTTGATAATATTCACATTGCTTCTCTAACTGAAAATAGTGTTTGGAGTCTGATTTTGTAGAATCCTATGCTTACTCTCCATGTTTTGGTTCTACAGCTTTATGAAAACTTCATCAGTGAATTTGAACACAGGTAAAACCCTTTTGCCAGTTTTTCACTTTGAAAATGCATGTGTTGGTATTCTTTGATATTCAAAAACTGGTGGTTTTTATTTCAGAGTGAACCCTTTGTCCCTGGTAGAAATAATTCTTCATGTGGTTAGACAGATGACTGGTAAGCGTCACTTTGCTTTACAATGGAGCAGTTCTAAATGGTAGTTAGAATGGTCTTGAAATATAACTTAATTGAATTAAAATATAATTTGATAGAAAAGATCAGATTCTGAATAATGTTTTTATTATACTTATTGTCTAACCCTAAAGATTGTCTTCCTTAAAGATGTCTTGGCTGGTAGAAACCAGCTATTGGAGTTCTTCTGACTTTGTTCTTTCTCTTCTAGATCCCAATGTGGCTCTTACTTTTCTGGAAAAGACTCGCGAGAAGGTGAGTGTAAAATTTGAATAACACCTTCTGGAATGTGTAGTTTACAGTTTTTATTCATACTTTTTTTTTTTAGAAACTGTGTGTCTGCCATCATTATAGTTAAGTCAGCACACAGGTAGTGCTTACTTTGCAAGTGCGCTGCCCACATTTCTGAGGTTCCATGTTTTTTGATGTCTTCAGGTGAAAAGTAGTGATGAGGCAGTGATCCTGTGTAAAACAGCAATCGGAGCTCTAAAATTAAACATCGGGGATCTACAGGTTACAAAGGTGAGATCACCATAACACAGATTTATCTTTAGCTTAAAAAAGTAACGTGTTTTTTTTTTTTTTTTTTGGTACTGGGGATCAAACTCAGGTCCTTGCGCTTGTGAGGCAGGCAGCGGAACCACTGAGCTACATCCCCGGCCCAATGTGTTCTTTTTTAATTGTGTATTTTAAAATATTTTTAAGTTGCAGAAAAATTGCAAAAGCAGCACAAAGAACTTTCATATCTCTAACCCACATTCCTCGGTGTTTACATTTTACCACTTTGGTCGCATTCTGTATGTTTTTCAAAACCATTTAATAGCAAATGATTTTGCTTTTATAATGCCAGCGTGTGGCTACAGTTTGGTTGTCCAGTCAGAACTCCACGTAGCCTCAGCTGGTCCAAAGCACGTGGCTTCACTGACTAAGGGAGCCCCTCAGCACTGGCAGGTCATATGCTGCTCCTCCAGCTACTCTTTGCCTCCTAAATTATTGGAGCTGCCTGTCTTATTTGGGAGTCAGATGTCTATAGGAGTGGCAGTGAGGCCACCACATGTGGTCAGTCTACTTTGTTTAGCAGAGTGTAAGGGTTAAAGATATTCACGTTCTTGTCCTAAAAAATACTTTTTATTGATGTTTCCCGGTCCTAGCTCATATGCATGCTTAACTATTTTTTTTTCTGAAATATTTGAGACACACTAAAAACTGTAACACACTATGGGGAATGCTTTAACAAGGACCCTTGTGCTGCAGCTAGCTGCTCAGGAGCAGAGCATCACACACACGGGCAGACACTGCCTTCCCCCCAGACCCCTCCCCAGCATGGCCCTGGCAGCCATGCTTCCTTATGCACTTTCGATGGATAGGCATGTGTAACTCCAGGCAGTGCTGACATGTCTGAGCAGTTTGTTTTCACTCCAACGTGGTGTTTCATTATATGCTTCACAATACATGGGTGTGGTCAAAATATATGGTGAATGTTTAGTTTTCTTTTTTCAATTTAAAGTAAAAGATTGCCATTGATTCCCCTCTTTCAACACACTTATCCCATCATTCTTGACACTCTTGGAAGCAGGAAGGACTCTTGGGAAGTCCTCTTTCATAAGTGTCTACAAGGTGTGATCAAAACTGGTGAATGCTACCAGGTGTGGCTGTGCATGGCTATAATCCCAACACTTGAGATCACAGAAAGATCACTGAGTTTGAGGCCTGCATGGGCTACAGAGTGAATTCAAGGCCAGCTTGAACTACATAGAGAGACCCTGTATTCAAAAAAAAAGAGGGCCAGGGATTTAGCTCAGTGGTTTCGCCACCTGCTGCACAAGGACCCAAGTTCGATCCCCAGTACCAAAAAAAAAAAGAGTGTTGAACGCTGCTGCCAGGTGCCATCCAACAGAAAGGCCGGCTCATAAAAACAATGGTGTGCTCATCCACTTTATTCACTAGACCTGGCACCATGGAACTTCTGGCTCTTCCCTAAAGTCAAAATGACCGTGAAATGTAAGCATTTTGAATCAATTCAAGATACTGAAACAGCCAGAGAAGTGCAACTAAAAAACTTACAAGGACTTCCAGAAGTGCTTCAGAATGTGGCAAAGCAATGGGATAAGTGTATTTGAAGCAACAAGGAGTATTTTAAGGGGGATGAATGGCAATGTGTCTTTTCTTTAATACATTTTTTAAAATTTAAATATTCACTATATTTTTTAATCACACCTTGTAAGTGTCTGGTCTCCTGTGGAGAGATTTAGGTTTGTTTGGTTTTTTTTTTCTGTTACAAACAGTCCCTGTGTTAGCATTGGATCTAGGTTATTTTTTCTATTACAAACAATGCTCAAATTAGCATTTCTGTGCTTGTTCCCTGCATATGTGAGCAGAGTCTCACATGTGCAAACATGCACTCCTGAATACTGTATCCTCGGTACTTGGTACTTTCACACTCTTGTGTCTTGCTGATCTAGTGGGGGTGGAATGGCATCTTGTTGGTGCTTTTCATTTCTCAATCCATTCATACCATCACTTCTGTAATTGACTGTTGCTGTCTTTCACCCCTTTTTCTAGTGTATTCTGACTGATTTATGTTTTTATGTTCCCTAGGTCACTGTCCTTTGTGGGGTTACATGTGCTATGGATATCTTTTCCAATGTGTATCTTGTCTTTGTACTTTTTTCTGTGTTTTGGATGAACTGAAGTTTTCCATTTTAATGTAGGCACATTTATCATTCTTTGCATTTGCAGCTCATGCTCTTTACTTTTTCATTACTTTAAACTCTCTAAGATGGTTTTGCTCCTGTACTTAGGAAACGATTGAAGACGTTGAAGAGATGCTCCACAACCTCCCCGGCGTGACATCGGTTCACAGTCGTTTCTATGATCTCTCCAGTAAATACTATCAAACAATTGGGAACCATGCTTCCTACTACAAAGATGCTCTGCGGTTTCTGGGCTGTGTTGACATCAAAGATCTACCAGGTAACTGTGGGCATTGGATTCTTGTTGCACAGAAGTGGATTCCCCAGATGTGGCAGCTGTGTGGTGCTTGAGGGTATAGGTCTCAGAGCTCACTGAGGTGAAAAGATTTGTTTATGCTTCAGTTTCTACGTCATTTTGTCTCCAGTTTTTTAATTCAGAGGATAACAAGGTGATTCCTCCTCCCTGCCACTTCTTTGCTTTTGTCATGTAAGCTTTCTTGAAGCCAGACAGGACTGGTTGTGGTGACAGATGTGACTGGGTATGTCATTGCCTTAGTTTCAGAGCAGCAGGAGAGAGCCTTTACACTGGGGCTTGCAGGACTTCTCGGCGAGGGAGTTTTTAACTTTGGAGAGCTGGTAAGTTGGCCATGAGGCAGATTCCTTGGGGCGTGGGGTGCCTGGCTGTTTGCCAACTGACTGTCTCCATCCTATAGCTCATGCACCCTGTGCTTGAGTCACTGCGGGCCACCGACCGGCAATGGCTGATTGACACCCTCTATGCCTTCAATAGTGGCGATGTGGACAGGTTCCAGACTCTGAAGACTGCCTGGGGCCACCAGGTGGGTCCTACCTGCCCCAGCCCCTTGTTGATGCCTACATTGGTCCGTTTATCCAGTAACTGTTCCCTGAGTCCTTTCTTGCACACAGCAGGCACCTAGAAGGCCCTGGCATGTAGGGCCCTTCGTCTGTGTTGGCTTGAGGGTGGCATAGGACTCCTGCAAGGAATGAGTGAAGAAACTGGGAAGAGCGGAGAAAAAGGAGACTCTTAGCTTGTTTGCTCGACCAGAGGCCTGTGTGTCACCCTGAGCAGACAGTTGGAGGGAGCGAGAGAAGGGGGAGGCAAGAGGGGTCAACACAGCGGGAGGGAGGGAGGGAGGGAGGGAGGGCAGTCAGCCCTGGGAGGTGGTGAGGGCAATGCAGTGCACTGGGACCCGCTCAGGGAAGGAGCCGTGGGCTGGGAGCGAGCTAGAAGTGCTGAATGGCAAGACTGCTTTGTTTGGGTTTTCTTTGGTACCGGGGATCGAACTCAGGTCCTTGTGCCTGTGCAGCAGGCGGTGAAACCAATGAGCTAAATCCCTGGCAAGACTGTTCTTTTTTAAATGAAATTATTAAAAGCAAATGCTGCTAAAACTTTAACTGTGGTAGCAATTATGGTCATGTTCTGTTTTCATGCTTTTCTAAAATTTTCAGTTCTAAAGTTTAAGACACATTTATAAAATTCATATATGATAGAGTGGTTAAGGTATAGGTGGAGGGACTATGAAGAGACAGAAAATACCAGATCCAGCCAGACCTCATGTTATTCTGGTTATGTATTGATATCTCAGCAAAATATGAGAGCCATGCACGGTGGAGCACACTTGTCTCAGCTGCTCTGAAGGCTGAAGCAGATCCCCTGAGACCAGCCTAGGCAACATAAAGAGACCTTGTCTCAAAAAAACTAACAAAATGGAGGCCGGGGATTTAGCTCAGTGGTTTCGCCACCTGCTGCGCAAGTGCAAGGACCCGAGTTCGATCCCTGGTACCAAAAAAAACAAAAAAACAAACCTAACAAACAAAGAAAGCTGTGTAGTCATAGCAATTTGAAGGAAGACAGGAAATTCAGAGGTGAATATTAGCAGTGCTTATCCAGTATCCACAGTAGGACTGTCCCTGTCACCCTGTCAGGGATACCCATCAGTTAGGAGTTTCTCACATTCTCTTCTGGTTTAATTCTGTCTTCGTAGAAGAGCCCTCCAGTTCACCTGCACGGAGAAATCATGCAGGTCTCACAGAGTATGTGTTCTAGTTCTCATAACTGAGTGATTTTTGTTTGTTCGAAATTAATCACTTGCTCTTTGGATTCAGTAAAGCCCCTGATGTGTAGGGATCCTCAGAGTGGCTGCACTTAACAGATAGGGCCACCCAGGACCTCCCGGGGCCTATCCTTTCTTGATGGCGCCTTGGGTCAAGAGGGTCTCTAAATCCCTCATGGTGTTCGTGACATCAGTGCATATCTTTTATCTGGATTCAAAGCCCAGGTTAGGCAGCTGACAAGCACAAATATAGGTGACATTGTCTGTCTTTCTGCACTTCACAGCCTGACTTAGCTGCCAACGAAACCCAGCTTCTGCGGAAGATTCAGTTGTTGTGTCTAATGGAGGTAAGAAGCACCCAGGAGCTCCATCTTTTCTGAGGGAACAACTTTTTCCCTAACCAACCCCCTACCTCCTCTCTGCTGCCACTGCCTTTTTCAAGTTTGTATTTTGGAAAGCCGCCCTCAGGCAGGGCCCCTTTGGCCCCTTGAGCTGGAAAGGCTGCCCCTTCCTGCCCTGACACAGTTGACCTGGTGCTTCTCCCTCCTGGCCTCTGTCCTCCCCTGCAGAGTATGAGCTTCTGAGGAGGTGGAGCCTGACTTTCTGGCTCCCGACAGTGCCCTCTGCACTTGAGGGACTTGGTAGCCTCAGCTGCCTGTTCGTGGAATGAGTAATGACTATTGTGGAGGATTCATGTAAAGCTATTTTCACCTGTAACCTTCTTCTCTAAGCTTTGAAAGCTTGCTCTTAGTAAGATAAGGCTAACACCAAGGAAACTTCAGTATATAGGGTACTAAGAAGATGATCTTGATTTTCAGAGCAAGTATTTACAAAAATATCCTTACCAGTCAGTTCTCTGACCATTTTTATGTGGAAAAATAGTTAATGAACATGTTTTTTTCAGATGACTTTCACACGACCTGCCAACCACAGACAGCTCACTTTTGAAGAAATTGCCAAAAGTGCCAAAATCACAGTGAACGAGGTACAGTACTGGGACTTGAGGTGTGGAGCTGAGGCCTCTGAATACTCAACCCCACATTGTCCAGGCAATGGGAGAAGCAGCGTTCAGTCTGCAGAAGCCACTGGGGTCAGCTCTTTCACCTGAGCCTCTCTCTGTGCAGGTAGAGCTGCTGGTGATGAAGGCACTCTCGGTGGGACTGGTGAGAGGCAGCATAGATGAGGTCGACAAGCGAGTCCACATGACCTGGGTGCAGCCCCGCGTGCTAGATTTGCAGCAGGTGAGGTGGTGGCTGGGCCCCTGGCTTACCTGTGTGGGGTTGGGGTTGTGTCTGGGTCTTGGTTTCGCATGGACCGAGGCCATCCAGGAGGAAGGGATCACCTGACCTAGGTGTGGGGAATGGATTACTGCTGTAGAACTGAGGGGTTTTCTGGGAATGTAGCTTGATGCAGGCTTGTGGTCTGAGCCCTATGCTGAGAAGCTTACTAGGACAACAGTGCTGATTGTGCCAGTGATGCCTTTTAATCTTAAAATTGGTAGTCTGATAAAATATGTTCCTGGTTTTATGATTTGAGCTGAAATCCATCTTATGTTTGCTGGAAATTTAACCCTGTGGATTTCCTCTCTTCATGCCTGTTCTTCAGTTCAAGTTTTTAGACTATCTTGTGGTAAGGACTGACTGACGACCCCATTTCTCCCAGCCCAGCTCTGCGGTTCACAGTGCTGCTCCATTGGCTTGTGACCCTACGTGTCCTAATGCCTCTCTGGTCCTGATTTGCCTGCAGATCAAGGGGATGAAGGACCGCCTGGAGTTTTGGTGCACAGATGTGAAGAGCATGGAGATGCTGGTGGAGCACCAGGCCCATGACATCCTCACCTAGTGCCCGGTGCCCTGCAGCCCAGCCCCACCCAAGAGGCCTTTCCGTGGCCTCTGAAACTCAGTAGTAGAGATCTGCACTGGGTTGAGGGAGTTGGACCCTTGTGGGAGTAGAGACTCTTTTTGCTTTGAAAGCAGAACTGTTGTTGTTGGGGACTGGACCCTGGCAAAAGGGCCCTTTATGGGTTGTCTCATAGCCTGTGGTGGCCTTGGGTGATGAAGGAGGGTGGGAGCATGACCAGGAAGGGACGCCCTCTGCTCTGCAGAGGACATGCACCCCAAGGTGGGTCCTCATCCACATCTGCCTGTGTGGACATCCTTTTAGATGTGGTACAAGAACGTTCCTGTAATAAATGCCTTTTCATTCTGTCTGTGGGCCTGTCCTTGGGCTTAGCTTCAGGCCAAGCCTGTGCCTGTGGAACTTAGGGCTGCCCCCTCCCTTCCCACCATACTCAGGAGTAGGACAGAGGCCAGCACTTCACCACCCCTTGTGCCCACTGGTACCTTCTCAAACAAGCATCTACGCCCTTGCCCCTCACAGCATTCGGATAGGCAGGCATTTGTGTGCCCCAATGCCTGCATGTGCCAGCTGGGGAACAGCCGGGTGCTGGAGCCACATGAGGTCCCTCAGTACCTTGGCTGGGAGTGAGGACCTGAAGAATCAACAAGAGCAGCAGGTGGAAGGGGGTTTAATGTGATCTTTCAGGGCTGTGCCCTGTGGGTCTGTAAGGCCTTCATGCTACGGAGCTCTTCTTGTAGCCCTCCAGGTGGGTCAAGACCCAGCTCGCAGGAACCAGGAAGCTGATGAATATGGCTGAGATCCCCACTGCCTGCTCCTGATGGAGGAAAGCACACATGAGTCCACTGGTTGAGGCCTAACCAAACACATGTCTAGAGCTGGAGACAAACTGCCCCGGCCCACATTTGACCAGTTATCTCCAGCAAGCTCAGTCCGTCTTCAGGCCTCTGCTGGAGTGAGCAGTATCCTCTATTGTCAGGGAGCCCTAGTAAGAGTAAGAGAGACAGACTGGGGGACTGAGGGGCAGAATATGGCCTTGAGCTTGGCCTGAAATCCTTCTATCGGGCTAAGCCTCCAACAGGACAGAAGCACACATACATCCTGGCTCCCTGCAGCTGTGTATAAGGGTGCTGAGACTTGACCCACGTCCTCAGCAGGCCAGTGTCCAAGGCACCAGTCAGTTCCTCACAGCTCTAGAAAACCTTCCTGGCTGGAGCCCAGGCCTTCTTGGCCTCAGAAATTTAAGAACAGATGTGGCCTTAAAACTGAGCTTAGTCTGGATTTTCATCTTAGTTACCTGACCTTGAGCAAATGACCTAGACATTTATACTTTAAAAAACAGGCACACTTCTTGCGAGTCCACTGCTGACCTCGGCTTAGGCTTCCACCCCTCAGCAGCCCCACTGTGCCGTGTTAGTGAAGCCAACTGATAGACCCTCTCTCCTCAGGGTCACCACTGGCTGTTACTGGAGGTGACAGGCCTGGAGAGAAGACCCCTGCCCCACTGTGGCTCTTAGGAGCCTGTCCTGTGGGTGATAGTGTTAGGACCCCTTTCCAGGCAGACTGCATCGTAGCTGACCCACGCCCACAGCTGCCTCCCTCTCAGTCTGGACTTCTGTGTGGTCCCAAACCCAGGATGGCCACTGTGGTCTCCAAGGTCACTTACCATAGGGGAGGTGGGGGTTCTGGCTGGCTTGGCAGAGACGTGGGCCTTGGGAAGCACCCAGCACCTCAGGGGGGCTTGGAGCAGCTGCGTGGTGGAGGCCAACCTCAGCATAGCTCAAGCTGAGCTTCCTGAGTCCCCACTGGGTGCCCTGGATGTCCTCTGCTCGATGGGGCACTAGAGTTTTTTATAGCTGGAGGAGGAGCTGCAGCTGTCCCCCTGTCATGGGGCCTGGCAGAAAGTACACATGCTTGGAACTGGGAGAGGTCCGGCTTGGCATACTGGCTCTGCTGTGACCTCGAGGGGCTCCAAGTCCCTTGTGGGGTGTTTTCTGGGTAGGATTCTACTCTGCAAAAAAGGACCTCAGTGGAGCTGATGCAGGGCAGTCAGTCAGGCTTCAGACACAAGATGGAGGAAGTGACAGACGTCAGAAGTGGACCTCAAATCTTGGGTATCAGCTGGCAGTGTCAAGCACAGCTGCTGTGGGAGTCTAGTTCTCGAGGCATGATGACACACACTTGTAATCCCAGCACTCTGGGGTGTTGAAGCGAAGGATAAGCTGGACCCCAGCCTGGGCAACTTCGTGACTTAGCAAGACTTTCAAAGTACAGATAAGAAAGAGCCAGGGCGTACTGCAGTGCAAAGGTCCTGGGCTCAATCCCCAGTGCCCCCCCAATCTCTAACTAACAGATTCTCCACAGTCCCTAGCTTTCCCATTCTTAAACAGTGCCCTACCCCTGCAGCCCTGAGTCCCTGGAGCCTGCTGGCAACCTGAGCAGGCGGCCACGGTCCTGTGAATGGTAAGTGACCGTAGCTTGGGCTGCAGAGGAACAAAAACGACAAAGTTCAGCAGATGTTTTCTGAGTGCCACCTTGGGGGAGCGAGTGCTGTATGACCTCAGACCCTGCCCTGACCAAGACACCGAGGGCTGGACATGCCGGGCCATGCGACTCAAGTCCTCAGGCCACAGGCTTCAGAGCTCCCACTTGCTCTCGCTTCTGCAGACAGTGGGTTTTACCCTGCCACCAGCAAAAGGTACTAGTAGGTCTGCCTTCCTGCTCTCTGGGAGGCTGTCTCACACCTTCTCGTGGTGCAAAGCCCATTCCCCACGCTACTGTGGGCCTGCCTGCACTGCCCCAGGGCAGCAGCCTGTGCCCTCTGTCCACTACCACCAAATCCAAAGGTCTTTTCTCAGGCACTATCTCCAGTCTTGCTCTCCTTAGTTGCTGATTTTCCTCCCACTTTGTGCAGCCCCTGCCTGGCCTCCAATGGCCCCAGGCTCCTCCAGACCTCATCTGGCCCTGGTCCAGGCAGCATTGACACTCCCAGGTGTCAAGTCATGATCTCTGGGTCTATTAACCACTGACCTGTCTCCCCACCTATGGTCAAGTTGCTGAGTCCCTGCAGTGCTTTCTTTCCCTAGTTCCCCTCCACAGAGCAGGAGCCTCTGCTCCCTCTGGACTTCACACTCCACATCCCACCACCAACAGAGTCATACTCCAGGGGATCAGCTCACCAGCCTCCCCAAATCCTGCCTCAGATGTCTTCTCCACACACAACAAGGGCTATCCTTGTAGAGCCATCAGCTCCCTCTGCTCCACGTCCTGCAACAGACTCCACTCACCACTCACCTCCTCCATGGGCCTGAAGCCAGGATGACCTGGCTCCCTTTTTGCACAGCACACCACCCAGGCTGGTGCCTTTGTCCAGACAATCTTCTCATTTTCTCAGGCATTTCTTAAGATCATTAGGCTTTGTTTAAATGAAATCTCAGATATATCTTGTTCTATTGTCTGCTTCCCTAGCTGGAATAGAACCCCATGAGGGTAAGGATCCTGGTGTCCACCCACCACTGAATCTTAGTGACCTAGAACAGTATAGCTTAGCAGAGTTTTCAGTGTTGCACAGCCAGCAATGGATGGCTGAATGGATAGATGGATGGATTGGATGGATAGATAAATTGATGAGTAAATGGGTGATGGAGTGGATGAGTGTATAAATGGATGAGTGAATAGGCAATGAGTGGGTATAGGTAGATGGGTGGATAAATGGTTAGGTGGGTGGATGGATGGATGGCTAAGTGGATAGATGAATGAATGGATGGTTGTATGGATGGATGGAGTGAGTAAGTGAATAAGTGTATGGATGGATGAGTGAACAGGTGGAAAATTGGAAAGGTGGATATAAGGGTGGATAAAATTTCCATCATACACTGGACACTGTGCTAAACTTGGGGAATATAGAGCAGTCAGACATGAGGCCAAGCTGCAGGAAGGCACTCCACCATCAGAATGACCCAGGACCTTGTCCTGACAGTGATGAAAGCCACACCCCAGAGGGTGCTCTTCATTTTCAGACAAACTGGTATAGGCCCAAGCACAGGATAGCATCTAGCCACACCAGGCATGTAGCCCTCAGCCTTGTCCACGTTTGCACTCCAGACTTGGCCCTAGTCACCATCCTCATGAGGGACAATTTTACCCTTATTGGTTTGTTTAGAAATGACAAATTGAAAATATGAATCCATTTCACTGGGAAAATGACTTGACTTTTGTTCTTCCTTGGAAGCCAAATTTTCTCCCCAGTATGACTCCTTCCTGGGCTCTCCACCACCTGCCAGAGCAGGCCAGGCAGCCTTCCTGGGAGCCAAGTCCTGGGAGGCCAGAGGAGGAAGGTTCCTGAATGTTATCTCCAGTACCATTGGGCTTCTGATGCCAGCCTCAGGCCCTGGGGAGCTCTGCCCGCCTCCATTATAATCCCTTCCGCCTGAACCTTTAATTACACCCTTGGGGTCCAGCTCGGCAGGATAAGGCTGTGGACCTGAGGTTTGTTCATCAAACCATTCCACCTGGCATTGCTCTTTCCACAGATGAGTCCTCCTGCCCCCACAGGCCTGCCTCTGGAGGTGACCTCCATCTCTGCCACCTAGGCTTGGATAGGTGGGGCGCAGGTGGCATAGAAGTCCACAGCACTCGAGGGCATCTGGCTTCCAAACAAGAAGGAGACACTGCTGGGAAGAGACCTCCCAGGTTCCCTTATGCCCAAGTGACCACCCCAGCTGGGACCTCCAAGCCCCTTCCCCTCCCCCAGGCCTGCCAACCTCCCTGACCATCCAGAATTTTCCAGGCACCAGACAGCCCTCCCTGGGCTGCTGACGGCAGCAGTGAGCCCTGGGCCTCCCCCTAATTTGCCCATTGGTCCCAATATTGAGCCTCTGGGTGAGACCACTCCTCTGGAGACCCCTGCTGGCCCCTTACCCCAAGACCTGGGCCTTCTACCCTAAGGTTTGCTTTTCACTGGAAGAAAAACAGTATTCTGGGCTGGGGATTTAGCTCAGGGGTTCCACCGCCTGCCTTGCAAGCCCAAGGTCCCGAGTTCGATCCCTGGTACCAAAAGAAAAGAAAAGAAAAGAAAAGAAAAACAGTATTCCCCAGGAGGAGGTGAGGATGACGATGTAGGGGACAGAGTGGGATGAAGGCGTCACGTGGCAGCCAGGGACAGTGCGGCCTGGAGAAGGCCCATCCCGCTGCTCCGGGATGTGAGGGCCTCCCCAGGTGTCTGGTGGACAGAGTGGCTCTGCTGCCAAGGCCCAGCTTCCCTCCCTCCTCCAGCACATCCAGCCCACACCTGTGTACCTGTCCTGGGCATTCTCCCAAGGCCACCCCGCATGCATGCCCCTCACACAGTTGGAGGCCCCATAGCCCACCCCACCCCGATCTGGGTGGACACTGCGGGCACAGGGCACCACCTTGTGTCCAGATGTGGAACCACAGGGTCTCTGGAGAAAGCAGGCAGGTATCAGCACAGAATCGGGGACCCAGGAAGTATGGGCCGTGCAAACATTGGCTGGATCTTCTCACTCCCCTGTCACCACAGGAAACAGGTTTTTAGGGTGTGGCCCCTGGACAAGAACTGGCCAGAACTGAATCAGAAGCTCGGGTGGGCCGGGGTCCTTTACTGCAGGCGCCAGGTGATTCTAATACATACAAGTCTGGGAGTCATTTCAAGTCATAAAACCTTGGTGTGTCATGCCATGCCATTCAAACTGGACAGCCACTTCCAGAAAGATGAAAAGCTCACCCAGCCTCCGGGTGTAAGAGTCAGCCTCTCCCCTTTATCCACAAAATCTCTTATATTTGCCAGCATTTACTGAAACCTGGGTCACAGGTGGAAATCCTGTGGAGGTGTGGTTTTTGGACTGTCCTTGACCTTGGGAGCTTGGCCTCTATCGGAGGCCTGGGCCAGTGGAGATTCAGTGTTCCCCACTGACTGCTCTGTTGGTACAGTGGTGAATATTTGTCAGCTTGGCTGGGCCATGGGGTCCAGAGACTTGGCCACACTTATCCTGAATGTTTCTATGAGGTGCGGCTGGACAAGCCTACCATGTACACTGGTAGACTTTTGCCAAGAGAATGGTCTAGTCACCTGAAGGCTTTAACTGAACAAAGACTGACCTCCCCTGAGCAGAGAAGAACTCTGCTTTCCAACGTCCACAGGCTCAGCACAATGGTAGCTGTGCCCAGGTCTCTCACTGCCAGCTCTGCACCAATTCTAGGTTCTCCAGTTCCACAATCATGTGAACCAATTCCGTAAAAAAAAAGGTCCCCCTCTTCCTCTCGCTCTCCTCTCCTCTCTTCTCTTCTTCTCTTTTTCTCTCTGTCTCTGTCTCTCTCTCTCTTTCTACACACACACACACACACACACACACACACACACACCAGCTGCTAGTCCTATTTCTCTGCAGACTCCACTGACACCATTGGCAAACAGCCTAAGAGAAGAGAAGCTTTCCTGGCCTTCCTCCTCTGTGATTAAAGTAAGCTTTCATTATGCCTTCCTTCCTTGATGTTCACTGTGTTAGATGATACCCAGTGTACCATGGACATAGCTGCTGTTTTTCTGACTTAATCGGGGGCATCATGGAAGGCAACTGGGAAGATCAGAAAGGCAGGCAAGACCTGGCCAGTGTGTGTGTAGTAGAGGGGGTAGATTCTGGATCTCATGGTGGGCAGAGCCAATAGAGTGCTCACCCAGAGCAGATCTGGGTGAGAGAAGAAGCCACGGTGGCATTGAGCTCTGAAGGCCTGAGAGGCAGTATCTAAGGTGGGGTGGGTGGGCGCCAGCCAGGACATTCTGTGGGCCATACAGGTGGGGAGGGCAGAGCTGCAGGGCAGATTCTGGAGCACAAGACACAAGTGAGGAGAGGAATGCACAGGTGGAAACTCAGCCTGGATGCCT